GGGGAATACCACGCCCAAAAGGCTCCCACGAGGACTGGATTCCCCCAGTTCTGCCCCTTGTGGACAGAGCTGCACATATCCTCCTCCTCTGAGTCGCCCTGAGAGACGACGGGACGCTGCAGGCCCGCCGAGCCGCCCAATCCTGAGCTGATCACTTTTAATAAAGGCATTAAAAAGGAGAAGAAGTCTCCTGGCCCTTGTTTATTTCAGCATCCATCCATCTCTTTGGGAAACTCAATGAAGACACAAGTGCCTGATAATTTGTCCATAATTTAGGCTTTGAAGTGGGATGAATTTCTTCCAGGTTAAATTACCTCTGGATGAGTAGTTATTAAAGCCTCCTGTTTACAGCAGTTTATTCATATACACAACCCCCTCCCTCACGGCATTTTTAGCACTTGCAGAGAAATCACTATGGAAAACAAAATTTCAACGAGTGGGTTAGATTAGGGACTACAATTTCCACAATATTATTTATTAATTTAATTCCTTGTATTTATGACTTCTTAAGTTTTGATGGTTCAATAATATTCTGCTATTTTCACTGCTCAGACTTTCAGGGGAGCAGCAAAAAGCTGGAGGCATTTAATTTCTTTCTCAGCTGGATTTAGAGATCTTCTCACACAGTCTTCTGCCAAAGCTCGAGGGGCTGTGTCCACCTTGATCAAAATCACATCTGTTGACTGCTAATTACAGTGATTTATGACACTTTCTTTTGTATTAAGGGACACAATGCCATCTCACCGAGACTTTTGCTACCTGGCAGGGAGAGTCTGCCAAATCATACTCCAATCCTGTGTCAGTATTTTTCTCCCCATACAAATACACTCCTACACATGTTAAAATTGCATTTAGTTTTCTATTACCCTAGAACTTCTTTTGAATGAGTGATATACTTAAGACAATAAACAGCTTGTTGTTTTTAATTTTAGATCTCCCACTAGTAAAACTTCCCTTTCCCTGGTGATTTTTTTTTCTTTTCTTACTTGAAGAGACAACGGTTGTTGTGCCCTGGGAAGAACAGTGATGTATGGGTTATTAAGATAGCAGCTTAAACACATAAGGCTTTGACTGCTAAAGGACATTACAGGGCAATAGTTGATGGCTAATGGATTCTTCTTGGTGCCCTTGGGGGCTTCCATTGCATTTTGGCCAATGGTAAATGATGGTGGAGAGTCAGCTGTCACTGGCATTTGAGTTGTCTGATGAGTTAATGCTACAGCACTCTGCAGCCCTCCCTGAATTTTCCTTACCATCAATCCTCATGGACAACACCAACATCCTTGCTGAGGCCATATTTCATGGCTAGGCAAAAGTAATTTTTCACTTATTACTCTCCTTGTCTGTTCCCACCTGTCTCCTGCAAAGTTTTCCCTTTTCCTTTCCTCTGAATCTGAAGAAGCTTGGTTCATTTCTGATCCATGCAGCCAAATCACCATGAACAAGGCTTAGCCCAGTCAGTGTCCCAGGTTTCTCCAAACAATTATCTTTTATCCTTCTGTAAAGAACAGAAAGGCTTTTTCAGCACATCACATCTTTTCAGCTGATGAAGAAAACAAGATCAAAGCAGGAACCATCCAGATACCCACTGGTTTAAAAAACTACCTGACATGTTGCATGGTCCATTGTTTTTCTTCCCTTGCATAAGGAAGGTGGAATTGTGTAAGAAAATTGCACATAAGATGTCAGTGGTAGCAATTCTGTTCTGACCATTAACACTTTGCCTGTTTTCTGCTCAGATGCAGAATTAGACTAATGTGTGTACTACAACACATTTAATACATAAAGTACACATATAATTAATATTTCTGTACTTATATATATTACATATATACAAATACATATGAATACATATAATTAAGACTTCTGGTATTAAAGTAGTCAAACAAAAAAGATAGAAAAATTTTTTTAACATGGTACAATGCCCTAGATCAGAATAACCTTCACAGTTTCTGCCTCACTGTGCCTGGATTCCTTTCTGGGTTTTCCACTATGCCTCTCTGAGAGCATCAGTGGAGAAATCTAGGCTTACCCTCAATGCAACATGGTTGTGAGTTGCCACACACATTTTCATAGGTTTGCAGCGCCATTTAATTTTTTTTTATGAAAATATTTCTCTTTCTCCTGTTTGGTATTTTTTCTTCTTGTTGCTTAAAAAAATAAGAAGGGCAGGGAAGATTACAATAAACATGATGAAAAAAAGTTTAAACACTTAATTATTGTACTTTTGTAGGGCTCTCTTACTTTCCCTGCAGCTCCAAATTTGAAGCTCCTTCTTTTAGAAAACTCCATTTCCCCTCTGACTTTTTTAAAATGACACTTGGATGTTTTTGAGTTACTGCACTGCCCACCATTATTAAAACACTTAAAATGGCAATGAAATATCGATACATTCCATGAGTTCAGCCCTTTTCATTGCCAGGAATGTTTGTCTCCAAAAGAGAAGCCCTACTGAAAAATCTGCCTGAGCATTTCACAGTGCCTTGATTCTCCATTTCTGTTTAAAATGACCCCCACGAGGCAGCAGAGAGAGAGGAGAAGTAGCCAGGACATCCCATCTGAAGGATGTAACTGGTGCTGTGAGGGCCACAAAGGCAGAACTGAAGAATCACAAGCATTTCTCTTCTGTTTGCTGTCGAGTCCAGCACACAACTTACTCCATTTACAATTACTGCAAATCCATGCATGAACACACCAAAATGCAAAGCTGGCACCTCGTCTGTGAGGTTCTGGGCTATTGGTTTGGACATTTACTTCCCATTCTAGAAGGCAGATGTGAATTAATCTTCACCTTGACTACCCCTGGTATCGCTCTCCATCTAAATCTGCTCCTGATCATTTTCCACTAAGTGTCTGTGGCTGATTAAAGCTCTGTACTGACAGGGCACATTAATCAGATGAAACAAGTAGCTGATGAGAGACATTTCAGAAGTTAAAATATGTAACATTTATCTGCTGTCATTCTGTGTGCTCTGTCAAAATAGGAATTGCAGCAATTATGAACGTGAAGGCACAACCCCCATTTAAGACAGGCTGTTCCTGGTTCATTAAATCAATCAGGTCTCACCTTCAGGGCCAGAAAGTTACAACTGTGATGTTATTCCAGAAGGATCTCAGTAAGCAACATCCAACAAATTAGCATCCTCTGCTTAGGTGTGTTTTCCCATTAATGCTAATCTGTGACTAGAAGCCTTTACACACAGATGCATTCACATCTGAACTTCTCACCTGAAAGGCAAAATTTTAATACCTTGAATACAGACATTCACCATTTCCATAAAACTTGATTTTAGTGACAAAAGGTTTTCCTTATAACAGCATGTAATAAAAAAAAAAAAATTAAAAAGGATTAAACTGTCCTTTTTTTCCAGGATATGAAGTTGTTCATTCAGGGCAGAGATTCAGTAAGCTTTCATATTTGTAATTTTGAAACACTTACCTTTCATTCTTAGTCTAATTTTGGGACCTCAAGACCTAACAGTTTTATGATACATTTTTTTCTTGGTCAGTAGGAAATGACATAATCTTTAATACATCTTACTTTTCAAGTCTTCTGTCTCTGGTAAATCAAACTTACCATCTCTGCCATATTACTGTACCTTCATGTTTCTATGATGATTCCCAACTGAGTTGAGGCACTCACCACAACTTCATTTTAAAAAACAAGATTTTGATGATGTCTTGCAAACATCATTGCAGAGTTCAATGCACTGTTTTCTTTGCTCCATAAGACCTTCAAATAGGTAAAAAGTGATAGAAAATGGTTCATTGTTTTAGGCTAGATATTATTAGCTACTATGGGGAAAAAGTAAAGGAACTACTTGTAAATGAAAAAAGAAATTAAAATTAAAATTACACTTTAACAGTCCCATGTATCCACCAATTCTGTCATAGGGAGTGCAGCTCTTACTAGCACACAGTAGTGTCAGTCACCACCAGGACCTCTAAAATCTTTTCTCAATGCTCATGTAATTGATGTGCACATATTACAACTTGTCACAATGTATCTAATTACACCCATATTTATAAAATATATGTCTATTTTATCTATTTAAATTTAGAAATACACGTGTTGCAAAATTTTTGTTCATTCCTATCCCTCCACAAAAGTCCTCAGTAATGATTTTGCTAGATTCTCCCAGGGTCAGATATAAGTAAATCCAGATGAATGTAAAACAAGTGTGCAGAGAAGAAGTTAAAATATTCTTTATAAGGTAACAATTTCTCCCCAGTTCTCAATGTAAACCAGTAAATATTCTCACACTGACAATGAGTAAGCTATACTAATCTTGTTCCATACAACACTGGCCTCTTAAACTGCCCCCCTCTTACAAAATGTTCTTCTTCTAAACAGCAATGGAAGCATGGGGGAAAAGAGCTCCTAAATCAATCACAGATTAATTCTTCTGTCAGGTCTTCTTGAAAACATTTCTGCTGCTATGAGGTGACAGATGACAGTGTGCTCTGTTACTTTTACTTCAGATTTCTTGAAAGCAGCACACTAAGAACTGACACCAACACAACTTGAGGGATAGTTTCAACACTTTAATTGAAGCTGTTTCACAAGTATAAAAGAAAACCCATGTGTCAGATCTTGTATACTCTTACACACACAAATAACCCTTGCTGAGCCATCCTTTGTGTGACTCAGGACTACTCAAAAGAGTAGAGTTTTCAGCAGTAGCCCTAAACCCTTCCATGGAACACACAGGCCCCTCTAATATTAAGAGAGGAGAGTAAAAGCACAGTGAACTTGCAGCAAGAGATCACTCATTCATACACAGACTTTGTACTCATACTCTCATGTCTCATGTCTTCTCCATGCAGCCACTGGATGTACTGATAACAACACCCTCCATTATCTGGAGAAAAACTGCCTCTCCCAGCTTTACAGCACACTCAGAAAAAGCAGCTGCTCCCTTCAAGCCCTGGTCTGACACAGCATCGTTGTGTCTCTGACTCCCTCCTGCACCTTTCCACCAGCTGTGGCAGCACAGCTGGATAAACCACCCTGGGCCATGGTGACACCAGGCACTGCACAGCAACAGCCCCCCATGCTGGAGGAGTGTTTGAACTGTATTTGGTTACTCTGCACAACTAAGGCAAAACCATAGGATAGCAATAGAACCCATATAAACTCTTTTTTTCCCCTCTCATAACAGTGATTTCAATATTCATCTCCCTATGCATGCACTTCAGGAGACTGGAATAAAAAGAAGTAATGTGACAGCCACTCTAAATATGCATCTAGAGTCTTCTGTGAGGTGTAATGGTACTCACTGTGTTTTCATCCTGGGCTCCTGGCTCTGCACCTCTCCTACATTTGCCTTCACTGTGGCACCAACCTGGCTGAGGTTTGTGAAGCTTTCACTGTTTCCAAATGGCACAATCACAACTGCACCACCACTTACAGTGTCCAAACTCTGCTTTAAGCTCTCTCTTTAGATAGGAACTACTACTACATATGAAGCTACTTTTTAAATTTTCCCCCACAGACTAACATTTCTGACCGGGGTACATCTGTAGATAGGCAGCCACTGTAATTCCCTGATTATTGATACTGATGAGTGTCCAGCTATAAAGACAGATATTCAGTTTTGGATAAGAACACCAGAAAATTTGAGCCACTGGGCTGAACTCCACAGGTTTGGAAGAAAAAGTTACCTTCTCCCTTGCTTCTTTAACTCTCTACTGAAAAAGAAAAAGCAATAATATTTTACATCTAGAAAAGCACAGAGAAATCTTGTACTGTACTTTCACATACAGAGGTACAGAGAAACACCATTGTGTCTTCAAGGAGTCACTTCACTATTCTTTTCTCCTCTCCTCAGAGAAATTAGAATGGAGGTGTTTGGTGTCTTCCCCAGATATGAGGCACATTCCCATAGCAAAATCAGGCCAACAATCCCATTACCACCCACCAATAATTTAATGACATATACATACACATACCATACACAGACACATATTTAGCAAAATGAAAACATAACTCCATAATAAAACTGAAATATGAAGACATTCATTTACACTGTAGTAAAGAAAAAAATAAAAGCAGGTTATGTCTTTGCAGCACTGCAGGTGACATATTTCATTAAAAATGACCCCAGACCTGAGTTTGAGACACTTCTAAAACAATTATGATGATGTCATCCCTATTAAGAACTTCACATCCTGCCTGAGGACAGAATGGAGACTAAGCTTCAAGCACTGGGAGATGCTTTGGTCATCAATTATTTGTTTCCATGAGCAGCCATAATGTGTAACACTCAAAAGAAATGTTAGGAAGGTGCTAAGCAAACAAAGTGCAAAATGCTTTCACTTAATTTGTGAAAATACATATGGGTCTGTGTATTTTCACTAAATTCTTGTGTGTTCATCTGCTAAAGCTTTCTCAGAAATTTAAAAAATACAGAAACACTTTTATTTGTGGTGATGTATTGCTGAGAACAAAAAGTCAATGACTTCCATTTTCTCTTTCATGCTTCAGTATCAGGGTTGTGATACTTCTGAGGTAAAGAAGTCAGAGGGTTTTGAATTAATGATATTAAACTAATCATAACAAATCACAGCTCAAAAAAGAAGGAACCAGTGTCTTCTATGCAAGTACAAAAAGTCAATGAGCTGCCTACTTGGGGCACTACCAAACCCCTGATGATCAGGGAAGTGCTCAGCTCTCTAACTTCAGCCATCTAAAAGTCAGATGGACAGTCAGAACTAATTGTGAAGGCATCTGGTTAACACTGAGTAACAGGTCTCCAGAGAGTGATTCCTATCACCTATTTTGAGATGGGGTGAGTCACTCCCTGGAGATGTGCACTGGAGAGCACCTACATGACTGGCACACACTGCCTGCCCAGCCTTAAATATTTATATAAAAAGAACACCACCCTGACACCAGAAGATCACAAAGTATTAAAGAAATAATAATGAAAGGAAAATGAGCTGTTCCAGAACATCACAATTAATGTGTTAAATTTACTTCCCTTACTAACAAGCAGTGAACATGAAGGGTGAAACAGTGCAAAGCCAATAACCCCTCTGTCCATCCTCAGTAACAGCCACATTTCTGTGTCAGTGCTGGCTAATTGGCTGTTTCATGGCAACCCAAACTACAGTGCATTGTGCAAGTCCAATTCTACTACCACTGAGAGAAGTATTATCTTATTACACTGATTAGAGTGTAAAATAGTCTGCAATTTGATCAAAGCAGACCACAGCTACAATCCATACATAGTCCAGGTCTAAGCTCTGTTTCCATGCTAGGGTGGCATGCCATGAGACATCCTGTCTAAAATAAAAGTCCTTGCCTTCCATCCTCAAACTTCCTGAGTAAGGTGAACATCACGACAGTTTCTGAATGATGTCTCCAATAATGACTTAAAATCAGCATGTGACAATAAACCTATGTGCAAAAAGGCTCTGAACTAGAAATCTACAAACAACGATTGCTCTCCGTACACAAACACAAATACTCATACACTGCTCTCCACAAAAACAGGCATGTCAGCCATCATGCAGTGCTACATCTGCAAGAAAGAAATCCTACCCACAAGACACAATGTCTAAGATACACAATGCTCCCAGCAGGTGATCTGCCACCTTCCAAAGGCACCTACTTGCTTCCAATTGCACTAGGCATTGGAAGAAACACTTTGATGAACATTCCTGTTTTGGGAATCTGTTGTCTTGCTACTGCCCCGTGCTTCTTCAGTGTTTTCAGGAGATTTTATCACCACCTCGCCTGTCAGTAGAGAGGATTTTTGATGCTGGCAAATTAAGTACAGAATCTTGAAACAGGACAACAAAGCTTCAGTAACGCTGGAGGAGAAAAGTTTTTTGCACGGGTGACAGAACTGGTAGAACACCAACATGAAGAAGATGCCCATGCAGTAACCTATGAGGAGCTGCAGGAACAGCATAGGGGCACAGACATAGAGGTAGAAGTCTGTTCTGTAGATGTACCACATGAGCAGGAGGAAGGCGTTCTCCATCAGCCGCACGATGTAGTACACGGTCATGCGGTACCAGTTCTGCGACTTGCTGATCAGGTCGGGGTCGCTGAGCTCCACCTGCGCTCCCGACCAGCAGAACATGTTAATGCCAGCGTACAGGAACGTGAGAAGGCACAGGACGATGGTAGTGCCCAACCTGCTCAATTCCTTCTCTATGTTCTCAGGAAATGGCGACTTGCTAAGCCAGAAGAGAATCCAGGGGTAGAGGAAGAACCCTAAGAAATTCAGCAGCACGACGACAAAAACCCAGATTTTAAGGACTGAACCGAAAAGCACCAGCACCGTGACTCGTGTGGCGATCTCAAAGCTCCTCCACATGAATATGCAGAGGTAGGCGGCAGGTTTCACACGGACATTGTAATCGTCGTACTTTATCTTAATGGCCAGGATGTTGCAGCGTAAGGCGCCGTAAACGATCGAGAGGAGAGAGAGCACCATAAAAACACCTACAAACAGAAAAGACAAATCAGGACCTTCATCTTTGTGAAAAATGCATGTATTTTATGATTGGCTTTTCGCAAATATTAAAATGAATATTATATGTGTTGTGTTAGAAAGTAATGCTGTATTAATTCTCTTAAGTACTGTGTTAAATATAGTTTTAGGCTATAAAAAAATTGTTAAAATAGAAACTATGCTATGTAAGATGCTTTGTTTAATAAGAAGGGTTTGCAGCGAGATAGCAGCCACAGGACACCTAAATCTTTCAGAGAAAGGGAATTTATTGCCTTCTTATCAGAAGAAACGAACTTCTTCCCGCCTTAGAGGCGCTGTTATGATTAGAAGGAAGAAGCTGACACTGACCAGAGGGAATCCTGTGTTTGAATGGAATTTATGCATCATGTATGAGGTGTATGAATATGCAACGAGCTGTTGTTCTTAAGGGTTAATCCTTCGTTAACGGGTGTCCTTTTTCGGGCTTGTGATGCCCAGAAAAAGGTACCCGGACGTCCGTAACTCTTTGGTTTTTATTGTCTCATATTGTCCTAATTCAATTTGTCCAAATTGTTATTACTCTAATTGTGTTACTTGTTATGAACAAAATTCGGGTAATATTTTTTTTGTGAGAAAAAGTTACAAAAAGGCAGCCAGACCACGGGTAGCTGCTGAAGTTCTTCGTGTTTTGTTATTGTAATCACGAGTCGTTGTGGCTAATCGCTCCTTTTGTATCAGCAGAGCCTCGCCCGAGGCTAAGTTGTACCTTTCCCAGAAGGGTGGGAACCTTCCCGAACAGTAGAAGAGACCTGAGAAGGTGAGGGGGGCTATGCAAAGTGACTCCAAGACCACAATGCAGCATGGGTCCCCCGCTGTACGGAGAAAACCCCAAAACAACGAGCCACCTAAGAATTGAGAGACTGGAGTGATGTCTGGACGTGAGGAGCCGAATGCTGAGCCTGCAGAGACGCGGAACACCTTCGGACTCTCTCGCCCTGACCAAGAGAGACGACCCCGGCGGTGAGACCAGGCCGACTGAGCCGGCAGAAGTACCACCTGGCGGGGGATACCACGCCCAAAAGGCTCCCACGAGTACTGGATTCCCCCAGTTCTGCCCCTTGCGGACAGAGCTGCGCATATCCTCCTCCTCTGAGTCGCCCGGGAAGACGACGGAGACTGCAGACCCGTCGAGCCACCCAATCCTGAGCTGATCACTTTTAATAAAGGCATTGAAAAGGAGAAGAAGTCTCCTGGCCCCTTTGTTTATTTCATTACTATTCTTTTTAACCATTTTATTACTATTAAACTTTTAAAAATTTTAATAACAAGCGATTGCGTTTTTCACAATCTTAGCAGCAGGCATTGCATCTGCAGTCATTGTCGCCGCACTCCTGGGGATTCCCAGCGAGGTGTAATGCCACGGGAGCCATTCCCAGCCCTACTTGTGTGAAGGAAATGAACTCTACCCCAGCAAAACCCAGCACATGACTCTAATCCTACCTCCTATTTTGGTCCCTGCTTGATGCTTATTCAGGAAGCTGGTGAGAAAAAGAAGGCGCTCAGCAGCCATAAGTGTCTGTCCCTCCTCCCCCTGCCCAGGGCTGTCCTTGGTAATTTCACAGCCCAGTCATTACAGTATCCAACTTGCTCCCTAACTCCCACAGTACTCCACAAGGAGCAGGGGTGCTACTCCCTTTCCACACTGATGAAAAACTGCAAAATAGAAGCTGAAACTTTGCAGTAACTTGGACATGCAGATAACTTGGTGCTCGTGAAGTTCTGTGTCAGAGCAAATCACAAAAAGGTATGTGATACAGCACAAAATTGAAAGCTGAAGGAATTTAAACCCAGCACTGCCCCCGATTGTCTCTGGCTGTGTAGAGAGATATTTACTCACTTGCATGCACTGTGTTTTCCTATACATCAATTTTATTTATACACTAATCTGTATCATGCATTAAGAAAAACCCACTCCTATTAAAAATGTCTTTAAATTCAGATAAATTTTCAGCACCTCCAACCTACCCAGAATCCCTGAAAGGAAGGTTTCACATTTAAATTCTGCAGAAAGTGAAGGCAGAGACCAGATGTTACCTGGTCTCTGCAGGAGGGCATCCTGTCTTGCCTTATTAAGTAGGTACAAATGTACATGAATACTGAACACAGAGAATAAACAAAGTGCTAACTGCCCACAGGTTTTTTTGTATTTGCATGTACAATTATATAAATATTTGTTCACAATTTTTACTAACATGCTGAATAGCTGATATTGCCTCAGATATAATAATTAGAGTTTGGAATTCCTAATTATGTCAATTACATTTGCAATGCTTAGCAACCAGTGTTTTCTGCAGCCTTCAATTAGTTTGTGTGCCAATATCCTACAAATAAACATTGGTATCCTATAAATAAACTGGATTCCCCATTTTGCTATAGCTATATGGCCAAAATTATCAGGGGTTGGAGTTTTTTTCTTATTATAAGTCACTAATTTCTAAGCTATCCTTTGGGAGAAACAAGTGTATTTTAAGACCTCTAACAACTTTCTAAGAGAATTTCTCTATTATTTCAGCTAATCTCTTTTCCATTATGACCCACAAACACCTCTGAATTACTTTGGAAAATAATTAAGTCTTTATATCTAATTTCCCAAGGCACTCAGTAAGGTGAAAAGCATTTATCATTTTATATGGTAATTTTGTACATGCCAGTTTGGTGGTGCATATATTCTCTGAAAATGTTTATGCTGAAATTGTTTGTAGGTAGCCAGTAATTTTTACATCTTTCTTACAGCACTGAATGATGTCTCTGATAATAACTTAAAATAACCATGTGACAGTAAACCTATGTGCAAAAGACACATAGAGCTGGGCATTTTTAATTGTTATGTCTTGGAAAAACATCAGGTGAAAGCAGAAGAGCAGGTGAGTTCAGTCAAGAATATTACTTGATGTCCTATGGCTTTTTACAGAATCTTTCCTGTAGTTTTGAGCTGTGAAAGAACATAAATTCCAGCAGCTCATGAAGCAAAAGAATGTTCTCAGAGTAAAGGAACATAAAGATGTACCCACTGGGGACTGAGTGCTGCTTTGCTGGAACTCTGCTTGCTTTCTGCTTTGACAAGCTGAAACACTGATCTTATTCCCATTTTCACTTTAGGGAATCTATATTAATCTCAAACCTATCTTGTAAACTCAAGCCTTCAAAAGAGGCACTTCTTCATTGATAGAAAACAAGTCATGCTGACTCTGGTTAAACACACTAGCCCAGTCCTACTCCTTTCCTAAAAGCTCATCATTGTCACCAAACCTTCAGTTCAAACATAATTTTTAACTCTGTGAGAAAGATGATTTGAAGCAACCACAAAGAGAAATACCAGAGGGTGACACTGTTGCTTTTACTCATCCTGAGCAGGGAAAGAAATTAAATGTAAAAGGAAAAGTATTTTCCCCTGGAACATTTCCAAATCCTCCAACAGTCCTTATAAAGGTGGCCTTTCTCTTCTTCCTTCCTCTTCCCAAAAGTGTTTTTCTTACAAATGAGAGGTAGACACTCACAGAGTCATCCAGGGAGGCACTGATTTGCTTTGTTGTGTTTTATTACATCTGAAGTCCTTTCACAACCTGGTCCTTCCCACTTCAGAAACTGCTAAGACAGTGAATTCTGCTCTAGGTGAGCTACCTCACAAGTACCACTGAGATCTATTATAGATACTATAGTTATATGTATACAAAATGGAACTAGGACTCAGAGTAGGATAATACATGTGTGTTTCCAGTGTTGTATTACATCCAACACTTTTACACTTTTCATAATAAACAGTCACCAAAGCTTTATGTTGCTCATAACTAACCTCAAGAGCTGGTCCTGCTTTGGCAGCTCTCTAATTGTCTTGATCTTACATTCTTGACAGACTGTGAAATGACAATTTTGAAGAATGCCAGACACTGGCAAGACCCCAATAATCCATAAGAAAACATCCAGAGAAATTAATAAATGCCATGAAGTACACAAGAAATTTGCAGCATGGCTCTGGCTGACAAAGGGCTCAGCAAGGATGCATGTTCTTTTCAGAAGTGTTCAAGCCAACACTGGAAGCACTAAGGAGTTTCAAACAGATTTGAAAGGGAAGTGCCATGCCCCCAGCATGATGGTAAAACAGCTTCAGGTTCTCAGGTGACATCAACCTCATTACCCTGATCAAGCAGAATTTACACAGAATGACAAGGGATGTAGGAATCCAGAAAAATAACAGACTGATGAGAAGACAAGACAAAACACATGGAAATCAAAATACAAGACAATGATCATTATAACAGATGCAAATGGAGAAGAGCCTGAAATTTGGAGGACCAGTGTCAAAGAACAGGGAAGCTGAAGACATCTGAAATGTGGAATAAGAACTGGGCTGGCTGGATAAGAGACACACAACAAGAATATGGCTAGGACTCTTGTTTTTCTGATGAATGAGCTCTAACAGACATTGACACCTTTCCAAACACTTTCTTTTCCTTTGCATTTCTGTATTTTAGAATTACATCTGCATGGAGATGCTCCTGGGAAGCATGAAATAACTGCTGTATTTGCAAGTGGGTTAACCAAACTCTGGTGAGCCATCTTATCTCTGGTCATTTCACCCAAAGAATGTCACTTATCAGTTTGTGATTACAGCTTATCTCAGCAGAGATAAGCTAGAAGCAATAGAGCATTACAAATGATTATTAAACATGCAATTCTCTGATCATCTAGAACACAGGACTTATCTTTGTAAATCATGATCACTAAGGTCAAAACCAGTAATAAAAGAAAGACAATAAAAAGGTGACCTTTCTCAAGTAAATGCCATCTACAGCAAAGTGACTGGACATTTTGCTAATTGCACTGTTCAGCAAAGGTTTCAGTCACACTGTCTCCATCCCACATCACAAGTGCCATGGTTATTTGAAGGACCTACCTTAGTTATGAAGAACTCAGGGACTCGAAGGAGTAATGTCTTACTCAGGAACTGAAGGAGTAATGTCTTCCAAGAAACTACTGCTATCATGTTCTAGTTTTGGCTGGGGTAGAATTAATTGTTTTTCTAGCAGCTGATACAGTGCTGAATTTGGGTTCAGTATGAGAATAATGTTGATAACACACTGTTTTAATTGTTGCTCAGCAGTGCTTTAAGTCAAGGACTTTTCAGCTTCCCATGCTCTGCCAGTGAAGAAGTACACAAGAAGCTGTGAAGAAGCACAGCCAGAACAGATGACCCAAACTATCCAGAGGGATATTCCATACCATTGGTACCATGCTCAGTGTATTAACTGGGGAGAGTTGTCTGGGAGGAGCCAGTCGATGCTGGGGGCATGGCACTTCCCTTTGTGCATCACTTGTCTTTCTTGGGCTTTATTCTTTTCCCTCTCTCCCTCTACCCCTCTCTATCCCCTTCATTACTACTACTATTGATGATGATGATGATGATGATGATTATTATTATTATTATTATTATTATCATTATTAACTTTATTTCAATTAGTAACTTGCACCTTAGCCTCAGACTCTCTATCTGTGTAAAGATCCTCTCAGGGCCTTAGAGATACAAGAGCTATTTAGTGTTTCAGTGGAAATGCACCTTCAAGTTCACACAGGTGCCAAAGTCCTTTCTCACACTGAAAAGCTGTTTGTCCCATGACCAGCTGGAGATGGTTCTCCATTTAGCAGTGAGCCAGAAAATCAAGAAATGGAAGCAAGATGCAGAGTTCCATAGTAAGAGAGTTGGGTCCTGGTAAGTCCATGTTGTGCTTGGTGAAGGCTTGACGGCTTGGGTCCAGAGATAAGATGACCACAGTTGCATAGCACCTTACTGAGCCCTGACTTTTGATTCCAGAATCAGAGTCTGGCACAAGTAAAGACAGTTCATGTTCTCAGTTCATATTTAAAACTGCACTCCTAAAAGTATATCTTCCCTGGGGCAGCATGACAAAACATGCTCTGCAGTGTACCCCAAGGAATTTTCCAGAAAGTTTTGCTCAAAAAACAAAATGGAACAGAGGTTATTTTAAAATTCTTCATGAAGACAGCTCGGGGTTAGGGTTAGGGTTAGGGTTAGGGTTAGGGTTAGGGTTAGGGTTAGGGTTAGGGTTAAGGTTAGCTCAGTCCTTCCAGCTGCCTCCCTCTCATACCATAATGGTCACTTTATCAAACCAGTGTTTTTACAGCACCCAAGTGTGCTACAGAAGGTGCCATAGTCTAAAACACGACGATATAAACTTGAAAGCAACATCACCACCAAAAGCTACCAGGGAGATGAAACCCATAGCAGAATTCTTGGTTCTTGTGCAAGGCAGCTCCAACTGACTGCTCTCCCGCCCAAACACCAAAAAGGTCATAGCAACAGCTCCACCTACTTCTGGCCACGGTGACCTCCTGCTGCAGGACAGAGATGTAGAGCTGGAGCGTGAGCTGGGGCGCTGAGCCCAGGAAGGCCTGGATGACAGAGACCCTGCTGAAGGCAGACCTGTGCGTGCGCAGCTTGCCCTCAGTCTGTCCCACCTCCTTCTCTACTTCTTCTGAGTGCCCATCCTTGGGCAGCTGCCTCTTCTTGGTGATGCTCACGTAGGGATCTTCAACTCTGCCAGCATGGAAGTAAATATAAAGGGCTTCCACACACCTACAAGCAAACAAGGAGATAGAGCAACAGGGAAAAATGAAAGAATGAAAGGTCTCCCCAGTTCCTGGTATTCTAAGCAGTCACATACTGAGTCCTAAGACATTTTTTCATTGAGCATAGCCTGTAGGTTTTCTCCTCCTGGTGACCTTGGAATATTACAAATTTCCTTATTTAAAATAGAAATTACATTTTACTAGAGGGCAGGAAGCTGGCAGTGCCCTTTGGGCTGCTTGTAGTATTCAGATTTGAGAGGAGGTTTAATTATTTTCTATGAGCAGCCCTTGCTCTCTGCTATCCCATTAAAGTCCTAAAACTGCTCATCCACTACAAGGATGTCAAACCCAGGACCCAAACTGGATGTGTGTTTCTTCAGCTACTCATGTCTTTTTCTTTTTGTTATTGATCCATCTAATGGGACATGACAATAAACCCACTTTTCATACCTTTGCCTTAAAACATCTGAAGGGGGAAGCTTGGGGTATAAGCAGGTGTACACACCTCAAAACTTTACCAAGCAATGGTTCAAAACACCAGTAACATGCCAGACCAGTGAAAAAGGGCAGTTTTGAGCCTCACAACCCTTGAAATCAGCATTATTTTTTTAAAGGCACAAGAATAGGAGCTTAGTTCTCAAGCGGGCTTATGTTTACTGTTCTGTTAAAGAAATATTAAATATAATCTGGCAAAAAAGACTCTAACTCAGAAGATGCAGTGTTTCCAGTTGCTGCAGCTCTTCATACTTTAAACACAGTGGGAGCCAAACCCTTTTGTTTATACAGGTCTAACTTACTGCCAACTAACTCCCAAGGAACAAACTGGTGCCAGCACATGCACTTCTACTCATAAATTACATATTGTTACACTATTTGCTGCCTGCACGCACACACAGAGATAAATCCATAGATTTGGGAGAGAACAGAAAAGGTTGTCTCCAGAAAATGCTGCAGCAACAAGGACAATCTGGCTCCTGGAGTATAAAAGAAGATAGAGAGATATCTGCAAGGAAAGAACATCTTCCTCAACTTCCTTCCAATGGTTGTTTTTAACTGGCTAAAACTTTATGAAAACTAGTTCATAGTCTTCATAAAGTTTACTCATGAAGAGTAGTTCTAAGAGAACTCCTTGGGTATGAAGGTGTCAAGGGCAGGCTTGGGCATCAAGCAGGACCCAAAACACATGGGGAAATATTCACCCTTGTCTAGGAAGGAATGACAAGCAAGGAACAGGTGAAATCACAAGATGAAGGGGAAGGGAGAAGAAAAAAAACAAACTTCTGTTTAATTTAATTAACTTTACTTCAATTTTTTTTCTAATTGGACCACTAGCAAGTTTCAAATGCTCTAGATGAAGTGATTGTGAATCACTATCCCTGATTCACTAGGCTCCAGCTATCATTATGACTAAAGCTATTCAACATTCCTGCTGCTCTGAATGCTCCATTCACAGAGGTGACTTTCTGTCTTCCCCTCATTAATCTTTTCACTCCCTGTCAATCTTGTTCCACATGAAAGAATCCATACAGCCAAAAAGAAAGTGTGAAAAATTAATAAAGCACTGTGGCTTTATAAGCCAGCATAGATTCTGAAACCAACAAATCGATTTTATTCCAAAAAGAAAGATCCCAGACCATTTTTGTCTCATTTAGTATTCACAGCCATGCATTCATCCTGAGCTGAGGGCAAGTCTGAGTATATTATAGAACACTGGATCTCAGCATCAGGCTCTGAACTCTTGCTGTGTGTGATTAGAAGCAGATATAGTCTAGGGAGCATCAAAAAAAATATGTAGTGATCCCATTAAGGAGATCAGATTTATGAGACTACTGACAATAGCAAACATTATAACCAACCAAACTCAGAGTTTTGGAGCAAGCATTTGATTTTTATTTATTAGCTGGATATTAAGTAGCAGGATATTGTTTGTGATGGGGATTTTTTGACCATACAGAAAAGCAAACATAATGTGAAATGGTCTGATGAGCAAACCTTAGAGCTAAATGGGGCTTTTACCACTATAACAGAGTGATAAAAAATGCTATATGCAAGCATTCAGATTACATTGATAATGATGCCCATTTTCTCCCAGGCCCTGCCAGTCTCATGCAGGAGTGTTTCTGGAAGTCAGGCCTTCTGGGACAAATAACAAATGCATTCAACTGGTGCCACTGCTCAAGCAACTGCCTCCAGCAGGAGCAGACTGGCAGCTGACACACCAGAAAGAACAAGCACCAATCTAAAAGTTTAAGGAGTAGAATGTGGGAGGGGCACAGGCACTCGAATGACCATGCAGATGAGAAGGGTCCAGGACTGTGATGAAGAATCAATGCAGATCTTGTTGCTGTGTCAGACTGTGGCTTTGCCTATGCAGCACATGCTGAGGGGTTGGGCATTGTCTTTAAATGAACTGCCTGGCTTGCTCTTTTTAGCATGAAGTACAACTAAGAGACAATGCAAGAAGGGAATTGTTTCGTGGCAGCTTTCCCCCACAGTTACAATCTCCTGCAGCATGGTGAATTCCACACAAGCCCTCACTGCTGCTCTGCTCCAGAGGGACAGGAGTGAGAGATCCCAACTTCTGCACAATCCAATGATGTTTAGGGCCACTCCAAGAGCCCTTTACACGGTGTCAAGAGCAGAAGACAAGCAGCTGGCTGTGTCCTCTGCATGTAAGGCACTGCCAACCACAGCACTGGCTGTGCAGGAACTAAAATTGCTCTGAGAAAAAAAAGTCAGATCTACTTTGTAGAGTGAAATTTAAGAGGTAAGAAAATGATGGTGCTGCTTTCTCCCTGCTGCCATATCCTGGCAGAAAGAAGAGCCATACTTTTCCAGGGATCCTGATGGTGCCCACAAAGAGTGATTCAGCCCCAACACATTTGTCTTCTACACAGTAAGTAGGAGGAATAATCCTACCCTTATATACTTGCTGAGAGTGAGCACCTCATTCCCTCTTTTATCATGGATGCGTGGGACTGGAACACAGGCAAAATAATGGTGGTGTGAAGGGGGAGAAGGCAATGAAAACAGGGAACTTTCCACACCCAACCAGCACTCCAAAACAAATGGCTATTTGAGACCTACCCATACACACCCTCTGTAAGTGTACAAGTAGATTTCTCTGAGTGTTTGGGCTATTTTTGAAATTTCTAGAGCTAAAGCGATGCCCAGGGCTGTTACGATTAGGGCGGTTATTTTCATAATTTTCACTAATTCCTTCTCTTTAGAGAAATATGCAAGAGACTTGTCAGTCCTGCAGATTTACTTACCTGCATCAGGCAAAGATCTGCTCCTCACTCACTGTTCTTTTACCTGCACTGATTTCCTGTTCACCTCACCATGGACACCTAACATATCTGCTCAAGAATAAAGAAAAGAAAATAGCCTGAAGAGTGTCTAAACATATTCTTCCCATCTGGAAAAGAGGGAGACACATCAAGAGTTGCTAAGTTTAAAGCTAGGAGGATCTCCTACAGTGAGGTCTGCTGATGAAGTCCTACAAGGAAGGGAAGTTTTTAGACCTGTTCTATTTTGAACTTTTAAGCAGGTCATTTGCAAAGGGAGACTACTCACAAGGGACAAGGTTTCTGCACAATGTCACTTGAAACAGTATCTGCACCATTAGAGCTTATTAGATTTCAAACTGCAGAATTAGATGCCCAAAACATGAATGATTGAAAAAAAATTGAGGGTTTTGTTTTTTCTTTTTTTTTTTTACTTCCTGCAGCTCACAGAATCAAACTTTGGCCATAACATCAGCTCCTCTGGCAGTCAGATGCAAGCTTCCTCCTGCATCTGCTGTGCTGCTGTCTACATGGTACATGTAATTGTTTCTCCTTATGCCTTGAGAAACAAAGCCTGATCCCATTAAAAAAAAAAAGTCTATTGTTTATATCCTTGTCCTATCATAACCTGAGGAAAACAGTCATTAGTGTTCTATATAGGGGGCCTGTTATACTTACTTGAGATTTGTTTTGCAGGAGTTCATCCTTCTGCTGACCCAGCCCTCCCCTGATTGCATCTCCTCACACAGAACAGGCTGGGCTCACACAGCACTAACAGAGCACCAGGGAACAGAGCTCCAAAGACACCTGCAGTCACAAAAACTTCCCTCTCCATGAAGCTGGTACCAGAAGGAAGCACTGCCAGGTTCACACCAGCTGGTTTTGATGACGCCAGTTCAGTAGAGTCTTCAGTAATCAGGTGGGAGCAGTCCCTGCATGAGCAGACTCACAGTCCCAGCACCACCAACATCCCCAGTGTGTGACTATAAGCCCCAACTGGCCAAGTGAGTTTGTTGGAAATCTGCACTTCAGCTCTTAAACTTTTTGTTACTAGAAGAATTGAAAAGGGCAACCTGGTTAACAGGGAGTTCTGTGGTGCCTATCATGAAGGGTAAGGACAAAAGGAGGCTCAGGGGGAACATTATCACTCTCTGCAACTCCTCAGGAGGTTGTACTGAGGTGGGGATCAATCTCTTCTCCCAAGATAACAAGAGACAGGACAAGAAGAAATGGTGTAAAGTTGGTCCAGGGGAGGTTCAGGTGGATATTAGTAAAGATTTTTTCACTGAAAGGGCAGTCAGGCATTGGAATAAGCTGCCCAGGGAAGTGGTGTAATCACCAAGCTTAGAAATGTTCAAAAGGCATGTGGTGTTCATGGACATGGTTTAGTGGTGAAAAAAGTGGTGCTGGGTTATCAGCTGGACTCAGTGATCTTAGAGGTCCTTTCCAACCTAAATAATTCCCTGATTCTCTGAGGGGTTATTTACACTTAGAAGAAATCCTTAAGTGTAGAGCAGTACACCAGCAAAACCACATCCAGTAGTTATGTATTGGAATTGCAGCAGTGCTTCAAATCTCAAGGTGACTTTGGTGCTACAAGTGCCACCCAAATGAAGGGAACAAAGAGACAAACCCTAGCACAGGAGCAGCCTGAGCCAAAAAGCTCATCATGACCTTCCCTGGAGAAAAGACAAAAGTAATAAACCTTTCATTGACATCGGCTACTGTTTTAAATAACTTTTTCTGTTATAATTTAGTTAGTGTGGTAAAAGAATCTCCTTTTGCAAAAAAAAAAAAAAAAAAAAAAAAAAAGAACCAAAACCAAACCTACCTGAATAAATCTCCTAAGCATCCAGACAAGTACATTCATAAGGAGTGGCATTGACCTGAAATGCTGCAGGAGTCCCCATGATGCCCAGAAACCTGCAGTCACTTTGTTCCAGCCAGGTCTCTGCAGAGCCTCTGGCAAGCCTATATCCTAAGGATCACAGCCAGGCCACTAAGGGGAATGGGAATTTTGCTCTACAAATTGCTCTGAATTTATAGAGAAACTCCTAGGGAGTGGGAGAAGAAATTAAAAAAGGGTGCATGAACAGCACACCCAAAGTCCTCTCTGGAAGAGGGATGCTACCTAATTTTAGTCCTTCCAGTGGCAGCAGCAGGACAGCGAGTGCCTCCCGAGCAGGTGGAGTGTGGGTGGCTGGGGAAGGTGGTGGCATGCAAGAAGGTTCTGTGAGAGAAAGTACTTTTTTTCCATCACTCAGATGATTCAAAATAGGCTGAATCATTTGGCTTGCAAGGCTAAATACCCTCCTTCCCTGCCAAGATATTCCCAAACTATTCCTCAAATCTAAAGGAGTTTTTTAAAGGAAAAGAGGAAGGGGGAAAAAAAGTCTAGATTTTAAGATGATGAATAAAAACTCACACAACACATTTGGGCTGATGGTAAAGCAGTGCATGGATATCTGAGTATTTAAATCTGAACAGAGAAATCCTGACTGTGCCGTATCAAACAGAGATAGTCAAAAAGTTGTTGTTAAGTTTCTTTTAAAGCCCTCCAAAGCTGCCAGCTCTCTGTTGCAGCACACACAGCCTCAAGGTTCTTAAATGTTTCATTCCCCTGCCACAAGCAGACAGAGCCTGGGGGGGCTCCACTGTCTGTGTCCTAATTGACCTAATTTGACCTAATTTGACCCAGCTCTCCCGAAGCAGCCCTGGGCTGTGCTAGGGAGGCACAGGAATCCCAGCAGGGAGGATGGAGCCAGGCTTCACACGAGGGAAGCAGATGACAGAGCAGCAGGATTCTCTGTAGCAAAGGAGCAGAGGTTTGCCTTCAAGGATGGGGTAAAATGCCTCCAAGGACAATGGTCCTTTTGAGCTTACAAAAAGTAAAAGCCAAAGTGCAGTGAAGCCAAAATACTCTTTGCCTTCTAGCTATCACCCACACCTTGTGTGTATGCCAGTCCACACAGGGTAGGAAGCCCCCTTACAAAGCAGGGAAAGGGAAGGTATTTTGTGTGCTAAAAACACAACAATATTTACAGTGCAGAGCTATATCTGACAGGAAGCAATCAGTTTCCTCTTCTGACAGATATTACAATCTTTAGCTGCAGGAAGGCAAGGAAGGAAAAAAACCCAAACCCCAAAACCCTTTGCTGTCTGTGTCAGATCATTTTGACTTCCCAGACATTGTGCTGTATGCTACAAGCTGACAATTTCCCTAGAAGTAAGGAGAGCTTGGTTTGTATTAAACTTTTAATTTGTAGAGTCCTTCCAGCCTTTAGCAGAAAATAAGTTTTTCAGGCAGTATGAATGTACTACTCTATTTAATTGGTAATTATAATTCCAGTTGTCCTGGGTTTAGAGAGAAGTCAACACACATCACTTTGTCATGCCTAAATGATGCCATGGGGACTATGGCATCATAGCCGTTTGTGCTGTTGGCACAGCACATCCAGAACATCTCAAATCTCCTGGAAATGCTAAGTTTGTAAATCTTTGAGAAAGGAAAAAGTGCAGAGTCAGCAACACACTAGAGGACAGGGCTTTCATGTGCTCACTGGTTTTACAGCAGTGGCTGCAGCTGGGAGTTCACCAGAGAGCAGGAACTGCATTCTGCACAAGATAAGATTTGTGTTGTAAACTGAAAACTTGATGTTGAAAAAAAACCAGAAAGTCAAGTAATGCTTGGTGGTTGAGGTCAAAATATAAAACTAGGTTTCTTTTGTATAACTGAAAAGAAGATCCTTCAATTTCTTCTTGTTCCTCAAATCCTTTGTCTGCTTCCTCACATATTCTGGCTTGACATTAGATTCTTTCCCTGTCTTACCTCAATAAATTGATTTAGAATAACAAAAGTCATGTACTTAATTTTTGATAGTTTCTTTCTCTTTGGTTCCTCTCTTATTTTCCAAAAATGTGGGAGCAGTTTGTTCTTTACCTTTTTGAAAACCAGAGCTCTTTCAGAATTGTTAAGCCACAACTTCAACATCTTTAAAATTTTAACAAAGCAAGCAAAACAGCATAGTTATAGAAGAAGCCAATATTTTTGAAGTGTAAGATATTTTGTAACATCCAAACTGTTCACCTTTCCTTAGCGTGAACAAATCTTTCTTTTACACACTATTCCGGAATTTCAAAAAGTTGGTGATACTTCTCCAAGCTACATAAACACTGCATTTAATTCCCTTTCTTTTTAAATAAAAGATTTTAGTATAAATTTAAAATTAATGCCCCCCAGAAACATTTTGTAGTGGAGTTGCACACTGCTGTAACTTTCCATCTATTTTCTTTTTTTCCTACGGGTATTTTCAGTAAGACATTGAACTGGAATAGAGAAAATCTCCAAAGCAATTTGTGGCGGGAAGCTCACGTTTGGAAGGCAAAGCCAGACTAGAGCATCACTGACGTTCCATGGGATGGGACGGGTACTATCGTTGTGGAAGAAGGAGACACAGCGGAGGAATCTGCCGTTCTCTCTTGGAAGCGCCGTGCATGAGGCAGCAGCGGACAGACCCAACCATCAGCAAGAAGCCCCAGGGCTGCAAACCCAGCGCAGGGCGGGACGCGGAGGGGCTCTGGCGGCTCCCCTGAGCCCCTTTCCCCGGGGCCAGGTTTGTGCCCGAGGCATTCCCAAGGAACTGTTCCTCCCGCGGCTGCGGCAGGACGCGGGAGCGGCGGCGCAGAGCGGGAGCGGCCCGGCCCGCACCGCACCAAGGCCGGGGGGCTCCGGCCGCCCCCGGGCTCGGCCCCGGCCCCGGCGGGGACTCACCGACCTGACGAGCGGCCCCAGCTGCAGCAGGTGCAGCAGCAGCACCAGCGGGCGGTCGCGGCTCACGTCGCGGTGGATGAAGACCAGGCTGAGCTGCACCAGCGCGCAGGGAAAGAGGGCGAAGAGCAGCGTCAGCGTCTGCCACATGCGGTTCCCCGTGTAGTGGTAGCCCGCGCTCAGGCACAGCGCGGCCACCGTCTCGGACATGAAGAGGACGAGGGAGACGAGGACGGAGCCCGGGAATTTCATCGCGGCGGCCGCCCAAGCCCGGGCCGCCCTGCAGCCGCCGCCGCCGCCTTGCACCGGGGCCCAGTCCCCGGCAGAGGGAGCGCCGGGCTCGCCGCTGGCCCGTGGCCTCTGCGGCTCGGGGCTGGATCCGGGCCGGGGCTCGATCCCGACCGCGCTTGGATCCTGCCTGGCCCTGGATCCTGGCCGGGGCTGCACCCTGGCTGGGCTGGGAGCGGGGGAAGGTTCCCCGGCCGTGCTCGGGGAGCTCCCCTTCATCGTGTCTGCTTCAGCCGTCACACACAGAGCTGAACTGAGGGGGTTGGTGGGAAGGGGCGAGCGGGTGCCCCTGAGGGCGCTTGGTCAGCCTGGGGGATCGCACAGCCGCGGCATCGCTTGGGCTGGAGAGGAACCACACCATGGCACTGAGCGCCACGTCCAGGCTTTCCTGAAGCCCCTCCCGGGACTGTGACTCCACCAAGGCTGGAGAAGAACCACACCATGGCACTGAGTGCCACCTCCAGGGACAGTGACTCCACCACTTCCCTGGGCAGCCCGTTCCAATGTCCAATCACCCTTTCTGTGAAGAAATTCCTCCTAATGTCCAACCTAAACCTCCCCTGGTGCAGCTTAAGATCATGTCCTTTAGTCCTATCACTGTTTGCTTGTGAGAAGAGACTGATCTCCACCTGGCTACACCCTCCTGTCAGGGACTTAGTGATAAAATAGAGATCTGAAAGGAAGAAGCACGGGAAAAGTCTGTACAGGAAGAAAAGAACCCTGTGCAACAATAAAGGCTGAGAGATGATTTAATTAATAAACAAACAAGCCCACAACAAAACCAAACAAAGGCAGAAAAGGAGTTGTGAACGCAGGAGAGGCTCCCCTGACACACCCAGCTCAGAGTCCCTGATCAGGGCCGCGTGGCAGTGTCAGAGGTGCCCTTTTAGCTCTTTGCCAGGTGCCTCTCCTCTTGCTTGCCAGACCTTTTCCTTCAAAGGTTCCCTGGGCCACAGAACCCTGAGCCCTGCTGTGACACCAGCTGTTGACCTGCAGCATTTGCCTGCTGTCCCTGGGCCTTTCCCCCTCATCAGCAGGACCCTTTCTCCTTGACCACCAAAATTGTGGAGTCCTTCTGGAGATGTGTACGGTCACCCCAGCAGTATCGCCGATGCCTGCATGGATGAGCAGCACATGGTGACACCCTGAAGAGAAGACAAGCCTTTGTAATCCCTCCATGAAATCCTGAACCTGAGCACCTGGCAAGAAACAAAACTGAGGTACCAAGCCAGGTTGGCAGATAGTGCCTGTGTCCTGCACAGGAGTCTCCAGTCATTGCTTCTGGGTGCAGATACTTGGTTCATGCTCAGCTGGCTCTGGTGATAGATCTTATTTCTTCCTGCCTGCTCCCTGTTTCCAGGTAACTACACACCTGGGACCTACAGGAGCACAAGAGGAAGGCAAGACAAGAAGTCTGAGATATTATTAATGGGATATCACTACTGGCTACTTCTGCTTATCTGCTACTGTTCTTTAATGCAAGTTAGGGTGTCACCAGATTTACACAAAAAGTGCCAATGAACACTTGGCCATTTCTTTAACTCCTGCACTGGCAAATCTGGAGTCCCAATCCTCAGCTCAAGTTGAGCTAAGCTCATGATGATAAAGATGGAAACCTTGTTGTGGGCAGGCCAAGGTGAATTTAATGCTTGTGTTCTTCGCTGGGAATGGAGGGTCTTTCTGGAAAGGGAAGAGGCTATGGAAACTGAGATTTAAGCAGACTACCAATAAATACCTGGAGTGGGAAACTTTAATCTACAAAAGCAACCTGTCTTGTCTTGTGGGAAACTACCATAACCTGTTTTACGTAAGCACTGTGTGCAGCCTGGATGATTTATCTCATTCTAAAATGATTTATTTCTTTTGATAACCACTGAAAAGCTTTTGGAGCATGATGAGTCATGACTATTCTGGAAGGAAGTGTTGCCAGCACTGTGAAAGGTAAGTACAGAAATAAACAATCCAAAGCAAAATCATACTGTTCAAGGTTGGACTTTTATTTAAGGCAAAATATAATCACAGCTTTAATATTCATAATATGGATATACACAGTTTGTTCTGCCACTATGAAGCTCAGTATCATCACTGCTTTTAAAAAGCTATAAAATCTAGTTTCTATCATAATCTACAATACAAAACTAATACAATAAACACATTCTGAAAGATCACAGTGTTTAAAATATTAGAAAAGCAGGGGTCCTGCTTTCAAACAATAAGGTGCATCTCTAAAGAATCAAATCAGCCTTGATTCTACAGGCCTGTACCACATCATGGCTGTGAATGGCTGTAACACTGAGAAACCAATCTAGGGTGTGGCACATACTCAAGGAATGAACATCACACACTGGAATATACTGAATAATCAAGTGTCACCAACACAAACTAGACATTAAATAATGCCATTTAAGTTCCCTGTACTTTTTATTTGTATTGGTATTCACGTATATTGCAGAGATCTCGAGATAAAATGTGTATAAATTGCCATCAGACAGGGCCCTGCATATGCAAACACCTGTGCTTTCCTCATACCATGCAGACAAGCCTTACTAATTCCATGGGACTCATGTGTAAAGGAAAGTTTGTAGGCCTGGGCTCTGGAATGACATAGTTTTACCCCTGTTTCACACATGTGGAAGGAGCTACCTTACATGCCTGGAATCAAGCAGAGGTTCACCACAGACATCAGCAGGTGGCCTATCAGGCTCTTAAAATGAGTGCAGGAGGCCAATTCAGTGGCAAAAACCAGACCATTGTTAAAGGACATCCTTCTCTCTTGTGTGGTCATGGTAATGAAGGCAGAAGCAAAGTTAAATTTCTGGTCAGACAGCCTTTCTCTTCTATATGATATAAAAATATATGTTGGACTAGAATCTGTTTTCTATTCCCTATAGGACATAATTGACTTAAGGACTTCTACATAGTCATACAATGCTGTTGCTGGGTATCAGTACACTATAAAATCTCTTGTATTCAAATATCATTATACCACTTGGCAAAATAAGCTCTGAATTAATTTTCTGCCATTCTAGTTGGTATTGTTGTACTTGACCTAAATGCCTTCATTATCTCTTTGAGTCATTCCATGAACAAATTCAAGGGACTCCCTTCTAAGCATTAAAATAAATATGGCCTTATGTATTTTCAAGCAGATTGCTATTTATAATTTCTTTTTTGAGAGCATGATGTACAATTTCCAATATACAAGGTGTAGGACCAATGCTGACAGCACAAATTAGCCACGTTTAATATTCAAAGGCAGATTGAAAGTTGGTGCTATTGGCTTCTTGAATGTATTTTTTTTAACTGCCTTATCATGGATAGTGCACATCACTTCTGTTCCATTAAAAGATAGGAGTAGGCAGTAGGTTCAGCTACAGGCAACTCCTTCACAGGCAAATGTTTTTTAACATTTGATGACTTTGCTGCAATGGCAATGGAGTGCTGTTCAAGGCAGCTGAAACATGCACAGTGCTTACTGTACCACTACTGTGCTATTCCTTTGGAAAATGCCTGTTCACCTCCCTAAATTGCTGTATTGTTTTGTGGGCCCTGAGCATTTTTGGCTTATGGCTTTGAAGTATGTTGTTCCCCTCATAGTGGGATTTTTGGTCATTTTCTTATTTCTTTTCAATTTAGCTTTCTGCTGCTACTACTTAGTCTTAGACATATTTATATAAACTGAAATGTCTTCTCAGAGCAGTCCAGGCTGTGCTGCCAGCCAGCAATTGTTAATTCTTCAGAGCAAGATTACTCTTTGAAAATCAATCGGGCAATTTTAGTCCTGATATACTAATCTTCCTACAGATTAGAATATGCACTCATGCCAGTGAATATTCAAGGTATGTAGAAGATTACTGCACCTGAGATTTACTTGGCAGACCTCAGAGATCCAAAGAACAAGGATACATTCTCAAAATGCATGCATACACTAAAATAGGTCACTGCTGGCATAAAACATGCAATATGTTGGCAGATGCTGTAACTGTACATGCAGAAAACTATATGAGTACAAAAACTTGACTGCTTATCAAAGTTTCCATTTGCACATATTGCCCCTCCATGTTTCTGAATACAGCAGATACCTATGGTTCATTTTTTTTCCACAGTATTAAAAAAACCAATCAGTATTCTTGTCATATTCTTTCCATGTCCATATATAATCAGTATTAGAACATCAAAGTGGCATTACTTAATTTGCAGAATAGCAATAAAGGTGATCCCTTTACTTGCATTCCCTTATGTGTATTTCCCAGAACTACTTAAAAGTGAATTTTGGAATGTTTAGCCATTTCACTTGGTTTCAATTGTCCTGACAGAACTGAAACACTGAAGCATGGAGAAATGACCATGCTCCCTAGAAAGTCTCTCTTTTATTTAATGAAGTAAAACACCAGTGACAATTGTTATATAGGATAATGATTGTTCCTTAGCAGGTGGGAAATGGCACAGCCAGAGAGAAGAGACCATCTGGGAGCATAAAATAATGTAATGCAAGTTAGTAGAACACCCTGCTTAAGGAAAATCAATCAATCTTATTTTCAAGAACAAAAGACCTGGGCTGCTTCTTCAGCCTCCTCAAGTTATTCAAAGGTTGGGAAACAAAAGCAGGGAAACTGAAGGCAACAATGATGCAATCAAAGCAGATATTGAAAGCAGTGGCACAAAATAAACACGTTATTATGGTGAGAAGTTGTGAGTAGCAATTAAGAATAAAGATATATTTGTTAGAACTGTACTGCTGATAAAACAGCATCTGGTTCTATGAATCCTGAAATCAATAAATCTGGACACTACAGATCTAGCTTCCCTCAAAATTATTCCCTGACAGTAATCTATGGATGGCAGGCTAAAAGTCATGAGCAGCATATAGCTCCTTAAACTGCTGTGTAATCTACAGCTTTACTCACAAATAGCACCACACAAACACAGGTACATCACAAATAAGCACCAATACCCACATAATGCATCCTCTTTGCTTTAACAGCATAATCAGAAATACTATCAGAAAGACTAATATCACTTAA